TTTTTTTTCTTAAATTTTTAAAATATTTTTTGAGAGAGAGAGCATGTGAGCAGGGGACAGGCAGAGAGAGACACACACACACAATCTGAAGCAGGCTCCAGGCTCTGAGCTGTCAGCACAGAGGCCAACACGGGGTTCAAACTCACCAGCTATGAGATCATGACCTGAGCCGAAGTCAGAGGCTTAACTGACTGAGCCACCCGACACCCCCCACCCCTGCCCTTCAGCCTTTAGAGGGCAACTTTAGCCCTCTGCCTCAGTACCTGACAGCCCACACTCTCTCTCAGACCCAGCCTGCTGCTTCCTAACCGCCTGGCCATGATGGAGACCCTGGAAGATGCTCCAGACCCCTTTTTTGGAATGATGTCTGTGGATCCCACACTTCCCAGCCCCTTCAGTATCCCTCAGGTAGGGCTCCCCAGAGACAGCTCAGGGGGACTGTCGTGGTGGACCCACCCAGACAAAACCCATTCCACTTGTCTATTCAAGGCCAACTTAGAAGCAGCTCTTATCCGAACTTATTTCCACACAGTTCCCACTGCCAAGGCTCTAATCCAGGCCCTCATTGTTTCTCAGCCCTGGGTTTCCCTATCTATGTCCTCCTCTATCCACATTCTAACACCTCTACAGCTTAATACAATGCTACTTCCTTCCTTCAGACACCTGTGGCTCCCCACTGCAGATAGAGTACTAGCATTAGAGCTCTCCATGCCCAGGTCTAGAACTAGCTACCGTCTCTTAGCATATCCCTTAAGCATCTTTGGCTCCCAGACACTGGTCTGGCCCCCATGTCCCAAAGATGCCATGTTCACTTCTTTGCTTGTGCTGTTTCCCTAGTCCATAAGGGTCATCCTTATTTTCTACTAGTTAAGTCTTACACATCCTTAACAGACCTGGCTTAAATACTATCCTTTTCTATGAGACTTTATCACTGGCCAGAACCAAATGTTTTGGAACTCAGCGCATCGCTAAGGGGCTTGTTTCAACCTTTGTGTTGACTCTTGCCCAGGTCCTATACAAACCTGTCATCATGTTGGACCATAAGCTCCTTAAGACCAGGAATCTTTTCTGTTCCTCTGTCCCCAACAACACTTGACATAAGGGTGCAGTGCTTCGTGTACAGACAGATGGACAAAGAGTAGATAATGGCAGGAATGGGAGGAAAGGCGTGCATATGGTGAGTGAGTTCACCGCATACAACTGTCAGTGCCACAGGGCTTAGGCATGAAGGAATATTTTCGTCCATTGTCTGAATAAGGCTGTGGAAGTGAGAAAACAGCAGCTAAAGATGAACCCTTCCTTTTGTCCCCAATCCTCCCCAAAGATTCGACACCTTCTTGAGGCTGCAACCCCAGAGAGAGTTCTTGAGGAGATCCCTCCTGAAGTCCCTATGGAGCCAACAAAGCCAGGTGAGCAGAGAGGGTTCTTTCCGGGGAGAGGCATAGGAAGGCCCCAAAACTGAAGAAATGACCATCATTGAGCTTCTCTTAAGGGCCATGCCCTTTGTGTAACCTCATCTCTGCCTCACAGGAGTCCTATGAGATCAGAATCTTACCCCTTTTTACAGAGGAGGAAAGTGAGGCCCCTAGTGGTTAAGCAGCATAGTCAGGTTCAGATTGGCAGTGACTGGCCTGGGCCTGACCAGAACCCAGGTTGACTTGATTGTAGAGTCCATGTTTTTGCCTCACCACATGGGGTGGGAACCTGGAAAGAAGTAGAGGGGCTGGGGTGACTTTCCTGCCCCTCCAGACAGGATCCCGGTCACTGTGCTGTCCCCAGAGGCCATCACCCTCAAAGAGGCAGAGCCCATACGCATGCTGCAGATTGAGGTGAGTTGTACCCCTACAGTGGGGCCTGAGGCCTGCCTCTGGCGGCCCAGCCCACCTTGCATTTATCCACTCCTGTCTGCCCCGAGTCCTGCCTTCTTGTTTCCATTTCACCACTCCCTGCCCCTGTTCCTTGAGCGCCCAGTGGGCCTCCTGCTGCCTGTCTTTCAGACCCAGTCTCCTAGATCCACTTGCCTTTTTCAGAAATGGAACTGTGTCCTCTTTCCCCTCTCCTTACTCTCCCTCTTTGGACAGGGTGAACGGGACCTTCCGGAGGTCAGCCGGCGAGACTTGGAGCTGCTGATTGCCGAGGAAGAAGAAGCTATCTTATTAGAGGAACGTGAAGGTAGGCCTATCTGGCTGCCTATGGCCCGTGCGGCACTGGATGGTCAGAGCCCTGACATGGGCAGTCTGGGCCTGGGCAGTGCTCCCATCTCCTCTCTTCTGTGTTCTGAGACCTGATCTTCTCTCTGCAGAGTACAAGGAGGAGCCCCGGGTCCTGGAGGGAGACATCATATTACCCTCGCTTTCACCTCCAGCTCTTGCACAGTAAGGGCAGGACCCTCTGGGCCAGGTAGGGGGTCAGTGCTGGGAGGGGTGTCTTCATTTCTCACCCATTTTCCCTCAGGGTGGAAGAGGCAGCAGAGCCACTTCCGGTCCCAGTCCCCGAGGAACCGAAGCCAGCAGGCTGGGAGCCTGAGGCCCTACTTACTGGTGAGTGCCCATCGTGCCTGTACAGCTACTGCACACAAGGGCCCTGGATTCCAACTTGCTGAAGGGAGGCCTTCTAGCTGGTGGCTGGGTGACTGTAAGGGCAAAGGCTGTGTGGCAGAGCCAGGACCTAGAGTGTTTTTGCAGAGGTGACCCCTCCACCAGAGCTGCGTCTGCCAGCCCCTCCCAGCCCAGAGGTGAGTAGTGCCCCTTCCAAGTCTCTTCCCCTCCCAGAGCTGCTCATCTGTATTCGGCTTCCCCAAGCCCTGGGCCACTGCTAGCCTGCCTGGGCCTTTGGGCAAATGGGTAAAAGGTACCCCTGCTCACACTCCATTTATCTAGACTGCCCTTCTCAGCTGGGCCCCTCACATGAGTTTGGAACTGCATGTACTCAGAGGCCGTGTCCAGCTCTTTCTCGGGGCACCTCTGGGGTGGGGATATGGGGCTTGTACCACTAAGGTGTGGGAAAGGGAATCATGGGCAGCCTTGCCCCCACTTCCCCTCCAACTCAGCAGAGGAGGCCCCCAGTTGCCCCATATCCTGTGAGCCCACCTGCTCGTCGCCGTCGCCGCCGCCAGTTACTGTTCTGGGACAAGGAGACTCAGATTTCCCGGGAGAAATTCCGGGAACAACTGCAAACCAGAGCCCACTGCTGGGAGTGTGTGAGTGCAGCCTAGGCTCTGCTGGGGATGGAGGGAGGCAGGGCGGGCCTGGGGCAACGCATGCTGGGCCTTTTAAACTCTGGGGGGATGGGGGGGTTACACAGGGAACAATCCCCAAGGTGCACGTGTTCCGGGGGTTTGAACGTACACAGCTCTGTGTTCCTTGAGTGACCCCACCTAGCATATCCACAGGCCCCAGTTAGTAGTGAGTGGGGCAAGCAGGGGCATGAACCTGAGAGTTGGAAGGTCAGAGGCCTTGGAACAAAGTATTGCAAAGAAGTGGAGGAGGGGCGGGGAGAGTGGCTCTCTCCTAACTGGGCTTCTGGCCCTCCCTGCCATGCAGCCAAAGGTGCAGCCTCCTGAGAGGACCATCAGAAGCCCCACGGAGCTATTCCAAACCCCAACTCACTGTAAGGAGCGGTGGGAGTTGGCATGTGGGATCTTCTGAACCCACATTCCTCACTTGGTGTTCCTCACACCTCAGACCCCATCCCCACTGCCCACCCCCTCCCCAGCTGGCTGGTTACCCCCAGAACTGCTGTCTTTCTGGACCCGCTGTGCCCAGCCACCCCCAGAAGCACTCAGGCGAAGGCCACCCCTGGAGCCTGAAGAGGAGGCTGAGGAGGAAAGGAGGAGGACTGAAGCTCTGAGCGATATTGAGGTAACTGCACCCTTCCTCCTTCGTCAAGAGGCTGCCTTCTCCCCACCCCCCCCCCCCGCACCCCCATGGGAGCCATTGGTGCTGGGTCCATCCCCTAGTGCAGGCCAGTTCAGGGCTGGGACTGCTTCACCCTACCCCAGATGTTTCTGACACTCGGGGTCTTAGTTCTCGCTCTCCCACCCCCAGGTCCTGAGAGAGGCCCAGGAGCCCAGCGGGCCCCTCATGCTGTCTTCAGGTAGGTACCTGGAGAAGGGAGAGGACCACCGCCCCGGTCCCGGAGAACTGGTACCCCGATGCTCTTACTAGAAGGGAGTGATTAACATGAGGGAGCATAGATCTCTTCAGCTCTCCCACTGGGCACTTTTAATAAGTCACTGCACAGCCACGGCTTCTGGGTCCACCAGCTGGCCTCAAGGTCTTGCCTGCTCAGATCTAAGCAGATCCACTCACGACCTCTCCCTCCCCCTCCCCCAACAGAACTCTCTCTAGAAGCGGCCGAGGAGGAGAAGACCCGCATCAGCCTCATCCCTTCAGAAGAACGGTGGTAAGCCACCAGCCCCGGCGAACTCAAATATTCCCCTTGTTGCTGTCACAGCTGCCACCTTCCCTGTTCCACCTGACTCCCATTTTCTCCCAGGGCCTGGGCCGAGGCAGAGCAGCCAGAGGCCCCTGCACTGCCTGTGGTACCCGAACTCCCTGAAGTGCCTATGGAGTTGCCTTTGGAGCTGCCCCTGGAGCCCGAGCTGCTGTCGCTGGAGGCTGTGTATAGGTATCAGGGAGACAGACGGTGTCTCGGTGGGGCGGGCCCAGGCTGAGACTTCAGCTGACAGTCCTTGATCCCTACAGGGCAGTAGCACAGGAGCTGCAAGCCAACAGGGAGCCCGATTTCAGCAGCCTGGTGTCCCCTCTCAGCCCTCGCAGGGTGGCTGCCCGGGCCTTCTATCTGCTGCTAGGTGAGTGTGGGCATGAGGTGCAATGTGGGGGACGAGGACACAGAGGCCCTACGCGGACTCCCCCTGACTGGCCCTGTCTTCTCCCCTTGAGCAGTGCTTGCAGCACAACAGATCCTTCGCGTGGAACAAGAGAAGCCGTACGGGCGCCTCCTGATGCAGCCGGGGCCCCGATTCCACTGCGGTTAGAACTAATTCACAAGCTGCCAGGATACTGGTTACATTAAATATGTCTTGCCTGCCTCATTTCTGAACATCTATCTCCGTGCTTTCTGCTGTCAGAGCTACTGTTTTTCAAGCAGAAATTGAACTGCCTTTATTTAGGGTAGGATGTCAAGGCTCCATTCGTGTTGTTCCACAGCAGAACACATCCAGAGACGCCTCTGCAGGGCAGCGGGCAGGGCTGAGATTCCAAATGGCCACGAGGCCCAGAATCTTTGGTAAGGCATGAGCTGCACTGGGCTGAGAGGTGCTCTCCGGGTCTGGGCAGGCTCTGTTCTCTCTGGCCCGGCTGCAGCTCAGTCTAGGTGAGGCCCAGGACGGCCTGGAGCTCCTGAGCTTTGTCACCAGGCAACAAGCCCAGTGCTGAGTGGAAGCTGTCGGTGTGCTGTCTGGCCAAGAATGTCAGGAGCAGCAGCAATGCGGCCTTGGTATCTGGGTGGAAAGTGCAGAGGGAGAGATCCCGCACGGACTGGCCCTCCCCCACCCCCAGCTGCCCCAGGCCCTGTGACCCCTGGCCCTGCCCACTACTGCCACCCTCACCTGGTGGGATCTTATTGTCGGCCAGAATGAGGCTGCAGATGCGCAGGAGCTCAGGAGCCACATCTACAACCTGTGAGAAAAGAAAGGCTGACTTAGGGGTGGCAGCACCCTTGAGCCTGGGTCCAGGGGGGCAGTGGTAGAGACCAAAGAGAGGGAGAATCTCCCACCAGGGATACTTTGAGTGTGATACGAGTTCACATCCAAGAAAACTGTGAAACATGAGAAGGACCCAAGAAACATGGTAGTAGTAATTGTTTTTGAAGGAGACAGGATTGTGACCAAAGAGGAATGAAGTTAAGAACACAAGAATCCCCTGGTTGCTCTTCAGATCTGTTAAGTCTTTCACCTTTTAAAGAAAGACCAAAAGAATCCCAGACACTTGGGAGCCCCACCAACAGAACAGTCTCTACAGCAGCACTGGAACAGGAGTCCAAACCTAGCTGGTCAGTTCAGATGAATTCAGGAAGCAGGGCTGCTCTAATTGGAAGGGATGGTGGGGCAGCCCAGGGATACCCACGCCCCATGAGCATCCTGAAGGAGCCCTGGTATAGGAAGTTAGCCTAGGGAAGCTGTGATTTCTAGCTCCCCCCAGAGTGTGCAAATGGCCAGGCACGATGGAACCTCCCTAGGAAAAAGCACTAAGGAGCGTCACAGGACAGTTTAAACTGTTACTCTGCGTCAGCTACAAGCGAGGCCAATTCTGCCTGTGACGAGCAGCAAGCTCCCCTGAGGGCCGCCAGCATCAGCATTACCTGGTCAGGGCTGCTCTGGTACAGGAAGCTGAAGAGGTGCCCTATGGTGACCCATTCCTCCAAGTCCTCCTTCAGTGGCAGGGCATGCAGCAGGGCAGCCAGCACCTGGACACAGAGGTGCCTCAGGCCCCTTGTTCCGCACCCTCGCACCCTCCTCAGCTTCCTGGCTGTGCCTGATGCCCCTGGGTCTCACCTGGGGCTCCGGTTTCCTTGTGGGACTGGCCATCAGCAGGCGGGCAAGTGCCCCACAGATGTTGTCACGGACGCGATCATGGCGCTCCCGTGCCAGGAGGGGCAACAGAAGCCCCAGCAGCTTGGGGAAGTGTCTGGTTCCACAGTCAAGGAACAGGCACGCGGGCAGACCTCTCCCGTCCTCGAGTTCCAGGGATGCTCCCAACCCCACCCAGGCCCTTTCTGCAAACTAAGGATACTCCTGAGCGGGGCGGCCCCCATGTTCTGCCAGCACCCCCAGCCCAAAGATGGCATTGCTCCGCACCTCAGGGTCTGCCTCCCGGGCGGTGCTCAACAGCACAGGGAGCAGCCGAGACACAAACTGGGCTGAGGCGCCACCCAGGCCCTGAATAGACTCCGCCAGGGTCCCCACTGCAAAAGACTTCTCTGCCACTGTGCAGCCTTGCTTCTGGTGGGGGGAGGAGTGAAGTCAGCAGGGACAGAGTGAGGGGCTGGACACGGTGCACGGATAGAACGGGGTTCGAAGCCAGAGCACAGAGCACTCACCGTCTTGCACAGCAGCAGTGGCAAGAAGCCAGCAAAGAAGGGGGCGAAGGCATCTCCCCCGGCTGCAGCTGCCAGAGCTGGGATGGCCTCTCCCGCGTGCTCTAGCAACATGGCATCATACTCAGCCTGTGGAACCAGGTCAGGGGCTAAAGCACCAGAGCTAGTTCTGTAGCCGTGGGTGCCTCCCACAATGCCCCTTCCAAGCTGGCCATGTTTGAAACACAGCTTTTTCTCCTGGTACACCTACTCTTAGCTATCAATCCAAGCCCACCCCAATCCCCACCTGCCAGCCGCCTTTCCTGAACCTCCAATGCCTTAGTGGGAGCAGGGCTGCAGCATTTGGAGCCATTACCAGCCTTTTAGTGCCCCTGGCCTCCCTAGGCCAAGCCCAGGTGCACTGTCCATCTCTGCCCTGTGCAGACTACCCGGACAGCCTGGTCCCACAGTTTGCATCCATGGCCCTTACCTGGTCCTCCTCTTCTTCCTCCTCGTCGGTGTCCTGACAAGCTATCTGCAGGAAGAGAGTTCAGCTCAGCCTGGATCTCCTGCCCCTTCCCCTTTCCATGGAGGGGAGATAGGGAAACCTGGACCTGTAGTACCCTCAGACTATCCCCACTTAGGGCTGAGCCATCTCCTCAGCCCACAGTCCACCCAACCTGCTCACCTTCCTTTGCAGCACCGCCTTGAGCATGTTGCAGAGTTCAGCAAGACGCCCAGGGGGCTGCAACGCGAGGGGCCCACAGCCGCGCAGCACCCCCGTCAGCGCCTCCAACACGGCCATCACCACCTGGCGCTCCCGCTCCACATTCACTGCCTGCATGTAGGACGGCACCACCCGGGCGAGGGCAGTCTGCAGAGCTGGGGACATTATTAGCTGAAGCCCCGATCAGACCCTGTCCCTCCCTCCAATCGCCCCCTGCTTCCAGGGGCCCTAGCCTCCCCTGCTCACCTGCAGTGTTGGGTTCTGAGGGGCAGCTCTGACAGGCCTTGTGCAGTGCGCAGCAGAACTGACCCAGGGCCTCGTGGGCTGCCTTCCGCACGTTCAGGTGAGGGCACTGCAGGGTGAGGAGGGGCAGGATGTGCCTGCTGTGTTCATGGCCAACGCTGGGCCCTGAGCCCTTGGATCCCACCCACTCTACCAGCCCTCTCACCTCTAGCAGCTTGAATACTTCTTCAAAGACAGTCTCCATGTAGGGAAGGAAGGCCACACTATGGACACACAAACATATGGCCATTGGGGAAGGAACTCCCAGGCAGGGTTCCCAGTGCTGGGGAAGGCCGAGGCTCACCTGGTGTTCACGGAGATCTCCCCCAGAGCAGCACAGGTGTCTTCCTTCTCATCGAAAAAGGCATTTTCCACGCTGTACCTAGGGTCAGGTGGGGAGGCAGCAGCCATCAGGCACCAGGAGGGGCAGATCTGGCACTGGGCCCTTGCAAAGCCAGGATTCCTCTGACCAGAATGGCAGCCCTCCGCACCCTGAGATCTCTGAGTCCTCCTCCTCTTCCTCATCCTTGTCCATGAGCTCCTCCTCTTCCTCCCCATCGCTCTCGTCAAACAAAAGGAAGGAGGCGCTTCCATCGTACTGAGGCTGGACAGAGGAGGCACAGCAGGGACTCGAGCTTAGCTGAGCCTGGGAGACAAATGCCAGTCCTGGGCTGCCCTTCCCCAACTGGCCCAGCCCACCCGTTCTCTGCTCACCACAATGCCTTCAGTGGAACGCAGTGACAACAGCATAAGTGTGGTGATTTGTGGCAGGTGTGGCGCCAGGCCCTCACCCATGAGCCCTGATAAGGCTGCAAACAGGCTGTACCTGGGGGAGGCAGGCAGAAGCTGTACAGGCAGAATGGGGAAGCCCAGGAAAACCCCTGATCCAGAAACAGAGAGGACAGGGTTCTCAGGTCAGGGCTGTGGATCCAGTGGGTGGGCAGGAGACATGGGACAGGGGTGGGGTGAGGGCTCACTCACGTGCAGCGCCGCAAGTCAGGGTCGTCTACCTGGTCACACAGGCCCAGCCCTAGCTGGCAGCATTCCTCAGCCAGGGGCCTCATGGGCTCCCCCACTGCTCGAGCCAGCACCCCCAGTGTCTCTGTGGGGACAAGGACTTGGTTAACACTAGGATGTGAAGATGGGTCAGAGGTGTGCGAGGCCAAGACCTGGGGGACCAAAGATGGCAGCTGGGGGGTGATTCAGGAATCCCACTTGTGTTTCTAGGCACAGTGGGAAGGGTGCTTCCTTCGATGAAAAGGAAAAAACCTGTGTTGCCCGGGGGGAGATCTCTGTGAACACCTTGGCCCTTCCCCCGCACTGGGAACCTTGCCTGAGAGCCCTTACTCACCCAGGCTCTGGATCTGCACAGGCTGAAGGTCCTCATGGCCAGTTAACAGGAATTCCCGCAGGTGCTCCATAATGGTGGGGAAGTAGGGCAGCAGGGAGGCCTGGGCAGCTGTGGCTGGGGAATGGAAGGCCAGTATCAGAGCTGGAGTGAGGACTACCGGTCCATCTGTCACGGACACCCTAGGGAAACCCTGTGCCCTGCCTCCTGCCTCCTTGTCCTCACCAATGGCCCCCAGGGCGCTCACAGCCAGCTCCTTGGCCCGGGAGCTGCTGGGATTCCTCAGAGGCTGCAGCATACATTCCATCAGCTCCGGAAGGTAGGGCTGCACTTTAGGCCCTGTAGGAAAAAGCATTCCTCTAACACCCAGGCCAGGTCTCCTACATTCTGGGGGCCCACTTCCCTCCAGGCTGACCTCTAACATCTAGCCCAGACCTCTTTGGGTGCCTGCCACACCCCTTTCTCTGCCCCAGACAGTGGTTCAGGGAGTTGCACATCCCATTGCCTTCATCCAAAGCTACAGCTCCGTCCCCTCCCTCACATACCCGATTGCCATCACCTACCCAGGTTCTCCACGAAATTCTCCAGGGCATAACAGGCCTTGGCTAGGTGGTTTGTGTGCCCAGAAGGCACCGATTTCAGGTAGGCGAGGAGCAGTGGCATCACCTCCCCTGAATAGCTGCTGATATGCGGCTGAAAGAAGGGGAAAGGAGACCCCGAGTCAGCTCAACCGCGGGTATGCCCTCAAAGCACGCACCTAAGTGCCAATGGCAGCAGGGATGCCTGAGGAGGGGAAGCTGGCCCCTGGGAGGGGTGGGGACTCTGAAACGCTGACTGCCCACTCAGCCTTGCTGACCTGTAGGTTCTCTGAGAACTGGCCCAGGGCAAACAATGCAGCATTGCGCACAACTTGTGATGGGTCCTCCAGGCCCTTGCACACGATCTGCAGCAGTGGGGACAGCAGTCTGGGTGGGGCAGAACAAGAGAATGTAGTCTGAGGGGCAACACCAGAAAGCCCTAGGCTGGGCCATTCTCATTTCCCCTGGGAAAAAGGCTTTCTCTGTCACCAGACAGTAGGCGCCACCCTGGTCCCTATAGCTGGGGAAGCCATTTAAATTATTTTCCAAATCAGGACGCCTTTTAAAGTGGCAGAAAGCACTACTGATAATTAAGCTCCAACAATGAGCACAGACCAGGACTGCCATGCGCTGTGTGGTGGTTCTCTCCACTGCCCAGCCTCCCTCTAGGAAAAACGAATAGACACCTACCTCTGTCTGATGTGGTCACCAGCTCCATCGGACAGTACAGCCAGCACCAGGAGCCCAGCCTTGCGCTGGTATGGTCTCTCACTCCGCAAGGCCTCTTCCAGCATGGGCATCTAAGGGAGCAGATGGTACTCTCCAGAAACCCTGGCATAAGCCTGCCATTCCTCCGGCAACTGGCCCTCCACACCTACTAGGACCCAAACATCTTCAGCAATGGGAGACTAGGCACACCTGGGGGTAGGGGCGCCAGAAGGGCAGAGCCACACTTACCAGCAAGGGACAGAGCTTCTCAGGGGGCAAATGTAGTGCCAGCATGTCCACGACCTGAAAATGGACAGGAAGACTTTGCTGGACTCCATCTCTGCCCCACAGCTACCTAACACCCTGTTACTACCCCTGTAGCATATCTCACCTGTACAGCAAAGTGCTTGGGAGTCTCCCCCACCAGCCCAATCTCCACCTCTTCCTCTTCTGAATCCTGGTCTTCAGGATCCAGCTGGCCCAGTGGGGGCTCGGCAGCCATAATGGGGAAAAGGGTGTGTAGTAAGGGTGGCAGAAGACGATTCTTCAACAAAGCCTTGAAAGGAAGGTGGAATGGTGTCCCTGAGAATCTGCTCTCAAGATGGACTCACATTAAAAATTCTAGCCTTCTAGGCCATAAAGGGTCTAACAGAAGATTCCCAAACTCCCAGCTAGGAGCTGGGGTGAGGCCAGATCAATTTTAAATATCTAAAGATACCCGGAGATAGACAGAAAGCCCCAGCAGTGAGGTAAGGGATGGAAATGGGGGTGCACTAATGTGCGTCACAGAGTACTCACCTTGCTCTTGACTTTAACCAAGAAAGTGAGGCAGCAGAGAATACGAACACGTATTGCATCACCCAGAGCCACGTTTTTAGCCACCTGCCCAGAGACTAACTTGAATCAGAGACAGGCAAAGAAACTCCCAGCAATATAAGCAGCAGAGGCTGTGCCTGTCCCCAGCTCACCTCCAGGCAAAATGTGAGGACCTCAGAGAGGTGGGAGGTGATGATGGGCACCTCTGACTCTAGCAATTCATCTAGGGCCTCCACAGCCTCACAGGCCTTTGCCTGCCAGACAAACAAGACATAGGGTTACCATGCTCTTCTTCAGTGGACCAGGCTGGGTGCTCCTACACTCTCCTTCCAATAGACCTCTTGCCCACATGTCCTCACCTCATCTACAGGGATCAGAGTCTGCATGGCCACAATGAGCTTGGGCACCAACATCCGCGCAAGAGGCTAGAGGACAGAAAGCATAATACGGGCTCATCTCAGGCCCCAGAAGCTGGCAGCTTCCTCAAAGCCTGGGCACAAGATGAGCCCAGGTACAGCCACCCACAGTATCCCCTCTCAAGTATTAGGAAGCACAAATGGCAGAGAATCTGAAGTAGTTCTGCATCCTGCAAGAATGCAAGAATGAGAATATGAAGACCCAAGAATAGGGAACCAAGAAAGGTGAGGACCCACATCTTACCACGTCATCGGTGCCCAGGTAAGGGGCCATGGTGGTCAGCGTGCGCAGGGAGTAAAAGAGGAGCCCAGGAGAGCCCACCTCACCGAGGGTCTCATTCAGAAGCCGAAGAAGCTCCCGGTGGTGGGGCTGGAAGGCCTCAGGCCGGGAGGTCACCACCACACTTAGCAGCAAAAGCCCCATCTGTTCAGGAGTAGGGGACGAGAAGAAAGCTTACATGGTCTATCCAGCTTCTCAGTCCCTCCATCCCTCCCTCCCACCGACAATGTGCTAATACCTCTCTCTCTGGTATGTGAGGGCTGTGGGTACTGTGCTGAAGAAGTTGCATGAGCTGAGGCCAGGCCTCCAGACCTTCCTTTCGAAAAATGGTGGCTGAGAGCTGGGCCAGGCTAAGGCTCACAGAGTGCCTGCAAACAGGAGAGATTCCCCCGCCACCCCCAATCATCCTCCAGTACCCTCCCCAGCACACGCTGGGCCTGCCTCAATGGGCTGGCCAGGAAAGAAACCTTCAAGTGTGGGCAGAGTGTTTGCCAAGTTGGGAAACATAACACCACTAGTGGCTAACAGGGAGACCAGCAGCATGGTGGGTATGTGATCTGGTGAGCCTGGTTTCATGCAGACTGAATTTCAGTTCTGTTCTTCTGAATAGGATATGGCAGACCATCACAGCCCATTCTTATGAAGTTTAGTCTTCAACACGGCCTTAGAACCCTTGCTCCACCCTTGGTCTAGAACTGAAATCTGCCCTTCTCCCTGCCCCAGGCCCTGCCTGGAGCTGAAAGACAAGGCAGAAACCCAAAGAGGGTCTCAGTAGGGGGTCAGTCAGGATCCCAAGAGGAGGCAGGTAGGCACTTACTGGGTCTCTCTCTGGAAGGCCGACAGGATCAGGGACTTGAGGCTGAAACACAGGTGGCAGGTGTTGGCACTTGGCCGGCCCAGGAGCCGCCTCCGCCTGGCCCCGCCCCGCCCCTGGCCCTGCCCACCTCTCCCGATGCTCAGCTGTCAGCCGTCGCCAGTGGGTGCTCAGTCGTCTGCGGGTCAGCACTGCCGCGAACTGGCGGATCTGGGACGAGGAAGCACGCACGTGAGGGTTTGGGCAGGAAGGTGCTGAACGGGCCGCAGGGGGCAAGCTGGGGGCGTGACCAGTGGCGTACTATGAGACGCTCAGCGGGAAGGGGCAGGAGCCTCACCTGAGGATCGGCCGCGGAGGCCAGCAGGTCGCAGAGCGCGGGCAGGGCGGCCGGGTCCCGAAGAACGGTCTGGAGCTGCTCAGTGGCCTGGCGGATAGTTTGGAGGTCAGAGTAGGGCTTTTCCCGCAACTTCCCGCTCGCCCCGGCCGGGTCTACCCTGTCCGTACCCGGCGGATACGCTCGGTGTCCGGCAGCAGCAGCTCCCGCAGGATCTGCTCCAGGCCGGCGGGCTCCATGGCAGCAGCCGAGGAGCCGCTACTGGGTCGGGAGGGGGGGAGGGACAGCACGTGGAGGCCCCGAAACCCATTTCCGGCGGAAAGGGCGTTGCTCCGAGCCCCTCCCGTCACCAGGGTGATTCAACTCGCTTCCCACCCGGAGCTCCGGCTTTGCCACTTCCGTTGGCCTCAGCGCCGGCTGAGCCGCGGAAACATGCCCTGGCAGTGAAGGTTCCCCCAGTCGAGAGTTCCCAAGCTCCGCGTAAAACTCGAGTTCCGTGCGTGCCGGGCCGACCCGGTTTTCTAAAGGGACACTACCCTTAACCGCAGGGCTCAAGTTCCTATATCCAGACCAAACCCTCCAACTACAGGATCCTTTTTCTTAATAAATTTTATTTTGATAATTGTAAAAAGAAAAATCAGGACCAAAACTAAAGGCAACATAAAAAGTTCAAATATATACTCCTTATATAATAGAGATTTGTAATTTCCAGGCCCTCCGGGGGGAAGAGGGGCCCAAAGGGCAAAGGGGAAGTAGATAATGCCATCACACAATTCAGTCAATCAGAAGAGACGTTGGTAAGAGACCAGTGGGCCTCTGGACGTGAAGAATGGGAGAAAAGATCAATAGTTTTGCCACCCAAAACTTAGTCCATCTTGAGGTTAACATAGATATAACGGATGAACTTTAGGGAAGAAAAAAAGGAGATGGTGCCTAGCATGAGGAAGAAGACATAACCAGTGAGTAAGGAGTAGCCAAAAAACTCTACTGTCTGTACTGCCCCTGACATGTTGGAGCGCCGAGCATAGTAGAAAACGGAGTAGAGGAAGATGAAGAGCCCAGTGGAGCCAACACTCAGCACAGATCGCCACCACCAGCGGTAATCCTCCCCAGACAACTGGAAGTAGGTGAGCGCAATGGAGATGCAAGCCCCCACACTCAGCAGGATGGCGAAGACAAAGAAGAGGATGCCATACAAAGTGTACTGTTCCCGACCCCATACTGTGGCAAAGATGTAGTACAGCTCCACAGAGATGGCACTGTGAAGAGAAGAGAGGATACACAGCATTAAAGGGCTGTGCACTGCCAGCACAGTGGCCAGGTCAAAATCCAGCCACCCCCTCCATGTTACCAGGTCACTGTGGAAAGTGGGTCCACTCCACTCCCTGCCCTACAGTTCCTGGCTCCGTGGGGACTCTTTTACCCATGACTAGCTGTGCTCATTTCAAGAACAGCTTCCCTGATAGGTTGAGAGCAAGGATCCTGTCTGTTTTATTTTCTGCTCTATATTATCTGCCTGGCACTAGAGGTACTCAAAAAATTGGACAGGCAATCACATGGGCTTTAAGCCCCAGCTGGTGCCTGTGGACACTAAAGTCAGAAACCAGGAAGGCAGTGAACGGAGCAATGTCTTTGGAGAGCTTTATAAGTGAGCCACCCTCATCTTTGAGTTGATTTAAGCTGAGTCCTGCTTGGATACAGGAGGAACTATTTAATGATCTCTTAATTGTGCACCTGAACCAGGGATCATCACTCTTGTTGGGTCAGGGTACTGAGAAAGGCAGTTAAAGTCGGGAACCTGAGAGAGATGGCCAGAGCATAAAGGGAGGATACCTGAAAGGCAGGAAGCCTCCAACCGTCATGTGGATGAGTGTAGACTTGTACCAGGGCTGGGGCGGAATTTCCCGGGCGATGTTCTTGGTGCGACAAGGTGCATCAAAGGAGCTAGCGTTGTTCTTCCCGAAGATGCCTCCAATGACAGTAAGGGGGAAGCCCACCAGCAGCCAAACCGTCAGAAGCAGCAGGATGGTGGTGGCTGGCAGAGCCTGTGTCGAACCATTAGCCCAGTGCACTGAGTTCACCACACTCCATGTCAGGAAGAAAGGCACTGCAGGGATGGGCCCCCAGAAGGAGGGTCAGCTATAGGAACATCCCTGGGGCCACCCACTCTGACTAGACCTAACAGGGAGAGAGATGAAGCATCCTGCTCCCAGGCTGACCTCCCCTTTTCACATCCCATAGTTCTCAGTTCCTTATCTTACCAACATCCCTTCCCCCATCCATTATCATTAAGGGTCAAGGCAGCTGTTACATAATGATCAAAGAGAAACACAATCCACCTGCCTCCCAGGGCTTGTTCTGCTGTAGCATTGGTGATTCCTAGCATGACCTTTCCTAGCATTCCTTTGGCTTAAGGCCCTATTTTCAGAAAATCCTCTTCAAACATAAATGTGACGGAGTATAAATCAGACACTCAAGATTGGGAACACGAAAGGTTCAAAATGCATACTACTACTGCTGCCTTTGAAAGGACAAGCTGGCTTGTAAGGCTAGAGTGGGGTAGCCGCCTGCAAATAAAAAAAAAACAAACTTATTTTGGCGGGGACACCTGGGTGACTCAGTCAGTTAAGCATCCGACTTTGGCTCAGGTCGTGATCTCATGCTTTGTGGGTTCAAGCCCCATATCAGGCTCTCTACTCAGTGCAAAGCCCACTTCAGATCCTCTGTCCTCCTCTCTCTACCCCTCCCCCACTGATGCGTGCACATGTTCTCTCTCAAAAATAAACGTTAAAAAAATTTTTTTTTTTTAAGTAGGCTCTAAGCCCAGCGCAGAGCCCAATGTGGGGCTTGAACTCACAACCCTGAGATCATGACTTGAACCAAGATCAAGAGGGGGACACCTAACCGACTGAGCCATCCAGGTGCCCCCAAAAAACCTTCTAAAAAGGGACTATCCAGAAATATGTTCAAGAGAGAGTGTTATTTCACTCTTAACATAATGGTTAAGAATACAGGCTCTAGAGTCAGACTGCCTGCATCTGAAACCTGGTTTGCTTCCTCTTAGGAGTGTAATTTCAGGCAAATTGCTTAACCAGCCTTCAATTTCCTCATCTGTAAAAATGGGGACAATATTAACTCCCGCATAGGGCTATTGTGGAGATTAAATGCGATGAAGGCATGCAGAGTGCTTACCATGCTGCCTAGAATATTTTAAGGACTTAATTTTTAAACTATGCAAAAGAAATGCAGTCTTGTCTTTTGAATGGTTTTCTTGTTTCTTTTGCCCATTTTCATTCCCTTAAGGCCTTACTCTAATTCTATCTCAGGTTCCATGATGTGTTGTAAGTTCCTAAACCCTCAGTCGCCAGGCCAGCCCACCAGGGAAAGGGCAATCCTCACCAGAGAAGAGGCTGGTGGTGAGAATGATGTTCCACACCCAACGCTCGCCTCCAATCTGCCGGTAGAAGTGGCTGGACACGTAGCCAGAGATGCAGCAGGTCAGGGCATACAACAAGATGGCTGCCGAGTTAATGGCCCCATGACGGTGCACATTGAACATGCCCAGCAGCGCCATGACAATAATGCCTGTAGGGTAGTAGTGGAAAGCCTGTGTCAGGTCTCCCCTGTCCCTCTTCTGACAACTTCAGAGGAATCATCCCCCTTTCTCCCAGACCCAAGGAAAACAATATCCCCTAATTCTGTTGTTCAGCAAACCCACAACTGAATATACACATGCTTGTTAAAGCCACCCACCCCTTAGGTTTGCCTCTCACCTTAGAAAGAAGAGAAGATCTGCAGATCTTTCCAGAACAAACCACCAACTTAGTTCTACCCCTTGAGAGAAATCCCTGATTAATTTTTATCACCTCACCAGTGCCAAGGGCCAGGAACTGGGCACCCACACCAAGCACAGCACAGAGCAGACCACGGTATGGAGGGAAGCGGAAGACATCTGTATGGATAATTTTCCAGCCATTGTCACCTTGATCAAAGTCATCACCAGAACCTGCAGAGGTAGTCTCCTCATCCAAGTTGTATCGAGCCAGGTCGTTTCGAAGCACACGCATGAGAATGACAGCCACAAAACCCACCAGTAAAAACACAAGCACCATGGAATTGATGATGGACAACCAATGGATTTCCAGTGTTCGGGGAAAGAAACCACTGTCATCGCCACGGCGCCTGTCACTCCGACGTTCCACTGAAGTCTCAGACCAGCGCACGCTGTAGGTGTGGGTGAGGCCTAAGAACTCATCAGGTCGTAACCCATCTAAGCTGTGGGGCTTGACGTCCCGCACAGAGACATTGGCAAATATAATTCGGTCTCCGTGGAATTCTAGGTGGAAGTCCAGATGGGTCCAAAGCCCTATCTTGTGGCTGTGAGGCAGGAAGCCACTCTCCTCCATGTAGCCCACAAAGCCACGGATTGGCAAATCATCCACTACAAATTCAAAGTAATACAGTTCCTCAATGGCCTGGCGCAGTTGCTCCACCTACAAAGAGCAAGTCAGGAGTCAGATATGGCCTCCCCAGGCATAGTGTTAGAGCAAGGTTCCACAGCCTGGACACTTCTGACATTCTGGGCTGGATAATTTTTATTGTGGGGAGCTGTCCTGTGCACTGTAATATGTACCATCCCTGGCTTCTTCCCACTAGGTGTCAGAAGCACCCCCACCAACCCCCTCCCAGCAGTGACAACCAAAATTATCTCTGGACATTGCCAAATATCCCTTGGGAGACAAAATTGCCCCCTGCTGAGAACCACTAGGTTAGAACCTAGTATGCTGGGATTCTCCAAAACGAGCAATGTGACTTGACAGGGTTAAGGTGTAGAAAAAGGAGAAAGGCAAGGTGTCAGAAGGTCTGGAGTAGACTAAAGAAAAGTGCCCTAAGATAGGATTTGCTAAAGAAAAAAAAGCATCACAGGAAAGATTAGAGTGTAAAGGAGCCAGTTAAGAAAGCCAAGAGGTAAGTATGGAAGGAAACAACTATATAGAAGTGATAGTTGGGACCTTATTACCAACAGAGCAGCCTGGAGTCCGGAGCCCTGGGCTCTAATATCACCTCTGCAATTCAGTATCCATGTGGTCTTGGAAAGTCACTTTTGAGCAAATATGTTTCTTCCTCAACTGAATGCAAATAATACCACCTGTCCTGACTACCTGGTGGGATTGTAGTTAGAGTTAAGTCAGATCATTTCCATAAAGGTGCTATAAGACCATAAATTGTAAGACACTGTTTAGTCCCTGGGAGG